AGGGGCTCCTACATCCCAAGCGTTATAATTAGCACGGACAACTCACGTGCTATAATATCAATATCTGGATTCGCACGGACAACTCACGTGCTGCACGGACAACTCACGTGCTATAGTATCAATATCCTCACAAACATGCCCTCGGCCTCACTCAGTCATCAATCTCTCCAGTCTTACTCACGAGCTTACAATGTCATGAAACTAGCCCGACAACACGGATATGATGTATCAATAAATAATAGCTGAGACTGAGATATGATATGAATGCATGAATATGACTGAGTATGAAATATCAATATAATCAGTGAAATGACAGCAAGAAACGACCACTATGGGTCCCAATAATATCGGCGTAATGCCTAAACATTATATCTAGCATGAAGGACAGCTCATTTACTTTATCGCATGGTGAAAAAATGAATATTAACAAATAGGACTTCTATACAGTGCCATGAAAACAACAGAGTCCCAATTCACTTGGTGCACGCCCACACGCCCGTCACCTAGCATGTGTGTCACCTCAATACTAATCACATAACACGTATTTCGGGGTTTCATACCCTCAGCACTAAGTTTAGAAGAGTTACTTACCTCAAACAAGCCAATACCAATGGCGAGCAAGCCAAGCGATGCTCCAAAAATGTCATCCCACGTGTTCCGACCTCCGAACGGCTCGAAACTAACCAAAAACAACCCAAGTACATCAAATAAAGCCCAAGGAAACAATTCCAAATGAAAAAGATCGAATCTTTAATCAAAAGCCTAAAGTCGGCCAAAACGTCCAATCCGGGCCCGCACCTCGGAACCCGACAAAACTCACAAAATCCGATAACTCATTAAATTACGAGTCCAACCATACTAGTTTCACTCAAATCCGACTTCGAATCGATATTCAAAACTCAAAATTCATATTATGAAACTTTAGGCCAAAACCCCTAATTACCTCTTTGAAAATCACAATCCAATTACCAAAAACGAAGATAGATTCATGAAATATAACCAAGTGCGAGTAGAGAACACTTACCCCAATTCATATGGTGAAAATTGCTTCAAGAATCGTCTCAATCCGAGTTCCAAAGCTCCCAAAATGTAAAAATGGTCGAAACCCTCGAAATAGAGTACTTTATACTTCTGCCCAGGCATCCTCTTATGCGAATGCGGTAGAAGCCTCGCGTTCGCGAAGCAGAAACCCACACTGCCTCATTTTTCACTATGCGTTCGCGGCAAAACTCTTGCGAACGCGATGAAACACACTATCAGACTTCCGCGATCGCGGACAACTCACTGCGAACGCGATGAAGAATCCATATAAACTGACCAACCCCCGCTCAACATTACGCAAACGCATAGCCATGGACGCGGACACGAAGACTACAATCTTGAATCCATTGCGAACGTGACTTCAGAAGCACGAACGCGAAGAACAAATAGCTTCACTTACCAAACACCTTTCGCAATCGCGGCCAAGCCTTCGCGATCACGAAGAACGTCAGAAGCAACAGGTAACAGCAGAAAAATCAGCAATGCAAAAAAACCATTTGAAATGATCCGAACTACGTCCGAAACTCACCCAAGCCCCTCGGGACCCCGTCCAAATGTACGAACAAGTCTCATAATATAATACGGACCTACTCGAGGTCTCCAATCACACATAACAACATCAAAACGATGAATCGCACCTCAAATCAAAATCTATGAACTTTGAAACTTCAAACTTCCACAACCGATGTCGAAACCTATCAAATCATATCCGATCGACCTCAAATTTTGCACACAAGTCATATTTGACATTACAGACCTGTTCCAACTTCTGGAATCAAAATCTGATCCTGATATCAAAAGTTCACTCCCGGACAAACTTTTCAAAATTTTAACTTTCGCCATTTCGATCCAAATTCAACCACGGACCTCCAAATCACAATCTGGACGCGCTCCTAAGGCTAAAATTATACAACGGAGCTAACAGAACCATCAAAATTTCAATCCGAGGTCAAATGCTAAAAAGTCAAACTTGGTCAACTCTTTCAAATTTAAAGGTCCCTAGTTGAGAATCATTCTTCCAAATCAGTCCCGAAGAACCTGAAAACCAAAAACGATGATTCACATAAGTCATAATATATCATACGGAGCTACTCATACCCGTAAACTACCGAGCGAAGTGCAAATACTCAAAACGACCGATTGAGTCGTTACATTTAATTCAGTTAGTTAGATTTTATTTTGGGTAATTCTGGCTTTAGTTCAAACACGTATTAGAAAAGTATTACAATTTTATCAGACAGAATTTATTGAACAAATAATCAGGAATTGATATAGCTCTCGATCTTCAAGCTTTCTATTTGCAAGTTGCTCTGTGCTTCATATTAAACAAATTCATCTCAATTATCAAAATCAATGTTCACATAGCATTGTCCTTACAAAGCAGGCTATCTAGCATGGTCAAATAACGTTTGTGGCGGCGGTGATTTACTAAAATCCAATAGAAAAAAAATTTAGTTGATATAAAGTCTCAATTATTAGGTTAAGCCCTAATATGCACCATGATATAGGAAACTATATTACTAATCATAATTGATGAAAGATATAAAAATCATCTTTTATGTATGCAAGATATAAGGTGACATAACAAATTTTCATGAACCACTTCTTCTACCTCTACCGTGCAACCATGTAGCTAATTACAAGAAATATGTATGCTGAGTAATTTTATTTACCATAATAATTACTAATCAAGTATATCATTAAAAGAAAAAAATTCACTAAAAAGTAAAGCCAAAACAAACATAACTGAAATTTTTTAGCATTAAGAAATACAAGAATAAAGAAAAGGCAAAATCAAACCATGTTAGGAAAATTATCATTAGTTGTCAAATAAAAAAACGTTATTGGGATGCACCTTTACGAGAAGAAGCTTTGGACATGCTTATAGCATAGTAATAGGAATGCATTCAAATATGAAGTTTACTATATCGGCTTTACGTGATCTGAAGAGATACGCGGCAAATAGGCATGCTATAACCCTTTTTATATTGGTAAAAAGGTATTTTTATATATGTGGGATTGGTATAGCTTTAGAACTTCAATAATGAGTAGGACACTTAATTCGTATAAGAATTCCATGTGAATTCGTATTAGGATAAGTAATTTGGTGTGACAGTTTTATCCAAAACCCAATTATCTTTTCCAAAATATATTTTAACTTTTAAAGGGTATAAAATTAATATTTCAGGGATATATTTGTCGCTCAACATTTTGCGTAGAACATTCGTATTTTTATAATAAATCTATGTACGTGCTTTGCATGTAGATTTTAAGTCCATTATTTATACGAAGGAAGAAAAAAAGTTAAATTAATAAATGGTCATTAATTTTCTTTATTTTTTATTTGATTTTTCAACTCAATAAGTTTTTTGGACGTAAATCCATCCATAGGTTGAAAAGAAAAACAATTCATAGTAAGATTGATATATTCTGTAGATATGAATTTGAGCATAAATAAAGGGAAAAGTTTGCAACAAAAATTATAAATAAAATCGCTGAGCGAAATTTACTTGAATAAAAAATTTAGTACTAAGAACATATTATTCATCTGTTACGGCCTTATAATACTTTTTTTCTTCGATGACAGAACATATTTATGCATATGATGATATATAATCTCTTGTCGCTTCTCACACAGCAATTAAGCCGAACTTATACCCTTGTGCATAATTTAGTCTAGTTTCTTTCTCTTTATACCCTTCTCTCCAACTTGCATATCTCTTGTCGTTTCTCACACAGCAATTAAGCCGAACTTAAAGATGTAAACCATACTATAAATTAATAATGTATAACAGTAGTTAGAATGATTTTCTAAGATAAATTACTTTGAATAGAAGAAAATGACCTATAAAGATTTTCGATGACTTCTTGTGTTATATGTTAATGATATTGAGTGAGAAGGTTTTATACTACTAAAGTCACATTTATAATAGGTCATAATACGCATTTTCACAAAATACATGTGAAAACTGTAACATGAAGACTAAACCTTAGACATAAATGTAAATTCAGTCTGCCAATCACTAAAAGAGTAACTTATCTCCAATAACACATAGGAAAAATCATAAACTTAGCTAACACTTTGTCAAGCAATTACTTGCAAAAAAAAAATGCTATCTTTACGTGAAAGATGTAACTTTTATTTTCCATTGAAGAATTCCTTGAAAAAAGAAAAAAAATCAAGACAATAAAATCCTATATAATGTATTACCTATTTGGTTTTCGGTTGATCTTCATAACTGCATTCAACTCCGGTAAGACTTTCCCATATTGCAAACCATCCATGAATGTAATTTCCACCTTATCATAAAAAAAAAATCAACATCAGTCCAAGCGACTCAATTATGCACAGGGAATTTTCAAAATTATCAAAGTTATATTTCAAAGTTGAGAGTTGCAACTATATACGAGAAAACATATATATAATACAAAGAAACTATAATATTGGTATCCATTGGCCTCGTGATGATGAACGTACTAAAGTTTAATTTTCACAATCTCTGTATAGCAATGACAATAAAAAATAATAATCCAATTGTCACAAACTAAAAAGAAACATCCATTCAAATCTAGTTCTCATATAGCAAAATTTACATCCTTGTGAAGAATGGACGTTTGGTAGATAATATGATTTATGTTTGTTTTCAAATAGATACTCCAATCCAATTACATGTCTTTTTAACATAAAGGACTCCTAAATTTACTTGACTTCTAAGATAAATCTATTTAAAGCAGTAAACTAAAATAAAGGACGTATTTGACTTGGATTCAACAACTAATGGAATACTTTTACGTTTTTGTACATTAATATTATAAAGATATCTAATTAAGAAAGGGTATATTTTTGTCTTTCAACATTTAGCATGAAACATTCGTGCTTTTATAATAATATATATAGATAAATAGATAGATATAATATATATAGATATAGATATAAAAACACACGAAAGTAGCAAGGCTTAAAACAACTTATTTCCGAAAATCACACCATCTATTTTGGCAATACCATTGATCTCACCAATGGAATCATGAGGTTTGAATATTCAGATCTCAAGTGAACCACATTATACAGTTCAGTAAGAACTAAAAATTCAACTATTCACCATATCATCAACTATTTTTAAAACAACGCCAAACTGCAAACTTATTGAAGAGCTGGTGATTTCCCACCTTTTATCTTAAGGAAAACTGCCAGAAATTGCACTACCATCATAGCCACTCAGTAGGTAAACAAACAGCCAAGCTCATGGTCAAAAACCACCCGAAAATTCTAAGTCGGCAGGATATAATTTGGACACAGCCGCAGATTTTTATTGCTGATAACAAATGTTCGATGGCACTAACAGCAAAGCAAAACTTGTATTTCGTCAATCTTTTAATTGAAGCCAAAATTAAGACTGTCCTTCAAACTTGTTCTGCCACCATTCCATGAATTTAACCTGTGAAGCCATGGTATCGAGCCTGTATAGCTGCAGCCAGTGGTTGGCAACTTCCTGTCCAAATGTCCAGCCAAAGACAGCACCGGCTCCAAAAGACAATGCAGTACCTAACAAATGCAACGACATTAAGCAACCAAAATCAACTACCTCAACGTTCAAGGCTCCTGCCAAATTCTTGGTTCAAGGCAAAAATTTAACATGCTATACCCCTTTCTCTTTGCCATTCTCAAATTAGATTGGGGAAAAATAACAGGACAGACATCTTCATACATGATTAATTGAGATACCACTGAATCTGGTTTTTGTATTCTGAACAAGAATGTAGTTGAACAAGGCATTGGACCAGAACCTAAATTAGCTTAGGGAGCCAGACTATACAAGACAATGCAGGAGTGAAGCATTTTAAGGAGTTCCGCTCTAACCAAAAGATCTATTGACTGCTGAAAAGGGAAAATGGGAGGTCATCCAATACTGAAGCACTTCATACTTAGTTTAGCTATATGACCATAGGCACCAAATAACTAACTAGACAAAGGATGAAACTTCTGCGCACATAGAATTCTATGAACGAGAAGGAGTGAATAATTCTTGTTCGTAACAGGAGATAATTTCATGTCTCTTAGAAGCAAGGAGGATTTTCTATTTCAGATTAAGAAAGAGAAGCGTGAAAATGAATATGTAAGATAATTTATAGAAATACACATCTGTAAGGAGGTGCAACTATTGATCATTAAGGTCAGTTTGGAGTATAATATAAGACTGCTTGTAAGTATTAAAATTGATGCATACTGTAGATAGGTCTGCTAACATGTGGATATCTGACTTTCCAAAGATTTGATGTTGTCCAGGTTATAACCACCCCCCCCCCCTTCCATTTGTATCACATAATATGACTTTAACAAGCAAATACGGCAGTCATTAAAATTGATCAAAATACAACATTTATATCCTAAAGAATGAACTATTTAACAGTCAGTCAATTTAAGATCTGCTGATATACTTTCAATTCTGATCCTGTGGCACAAATATGTGTATATAAACAATAACGGACGTCCAATCTTTCAGAGTCCAAATAATCCGAGCATGGAAATAGATGAGACAAAATCAGTTAACAAAGTAAGTGGATGTTTCAACAGTGTATTCAGCTGTAGTGTTCTCAAGGTGTAAATTGGAAAAGTGCAGCAGTACCCCTTTTTTCTTGGGGAGGGGAGGAGAGGAGTGGAAGGAGAGGACCATCGTCAAAAACCTAACATACCATGCAGACTCCTTGAGTACTTCCAAGCAACGCCTGCAGTTGAAACAGCTCCAATTAGGCCTCCTACAGCACCAAATTTTGCTGCTTCCCTAGCAGTCTTCAGCTGGAAAGTATTAAAATCTCATCAGCTCCACATCACAAAAAGGAAAAATTAGGGGAACATTATGGTTTTAGGGTAAAACTGAAAGGAAAATAAAGCACCGGTGGAATTTCTTAGCATTTGAAGTAACTCCTTCAAGCAATCAATAAAACAATTATGCAAGTCCTCGTGTGCAATCAAGCGAACAGACAAAATAGATGCTCAGCATGCTCAAATAGAGTTAGCAACCAAAATAGTTAAATTTTCATTCTAGAATTTAGCAAAACAAGTAGATGGCAGAATGAAAACAATGCACCATTAACTATGAAAAGAAATCTTAGCTTGGAAGGAACAAGGATGACACACATAAGCTGATGTTTTGGATAAATGTTATTGTTTTCCTTTGGCTGGAGGCAGGGTATAAGTAAAACTTGAGGGAATCCTCATAAATATGGTGACAGCCATCACGAAACATCCTTTCTTCTATCTACTTAGTTATTTTGATAGAGCAAAAGGGACATCTTTCTTCGAAGTGGTAATTGGCCTTCTATTTTATTAATTATTTTGATAAAGCAAAAGAAAACAAAGTTTGCATAGTGAATTTTCGGAGATTGAGAATGTAGCAGAGCCAAGTTAATCTCCAAGGAAACTACTCGATTCTAGAACAGTCATGAAAACATTACTTCATCACAGGAAAAATACATTTCAAAGGTTCAAGAAATACGCATTAAGTACAAATTTCCAAATAATGAACAAAAAACAATTCCAGAGAATGGAAAAGAAATACTTCTGCTACTGAAGTAATTAAGCGAAAATTCAAGTAAACACCAAAGACCCAACCTAACAGAATCCAATAACTAAGCACCCAACGAAGCAGCTAACAGTAACAGAGGCACCTATGCAAGAGAGCATCCAAACACGATTTTCACTTTTTCAAAATGACATTACAGCCCTCAGTTTCTCTCCTAAAATTTAGCTAAACAGACAAACAGTTCAAAGGATCAATGACCACAGAACTCCATTTTCACCAAAACTTACCTCCTCTCCCCAAAAAAAGATATTAATAACAATAGCAGACAGACAGAAATAGAGAATCATATTGCCATATACCCAATAGTCGTACACAAAGAATGGATTCACATCCAAAATCTGTTGGGATAAGTCAGCCCAAAGATACTCTTAAAATGTTGGGCTAAGTCAGCCTAAACATACTCTTAAAATGGTGTGTTGTTGTCTGTTTTGAGCCGTGGCTACACGATTTTCCCAAAAGGTTCTTCCCAACACCTTATATGTAACTTCATTTTCTTTTTAGCTAACAATGTGGTAAAAAAAATGTGGGACTTTGTTCATATACCCAACAGAATCAAACAGCATCTACCAATCAAGACCAACCAAATATAACCCAAATCAAAAATCCACACACATACACACACACACACAAAAAGCTAAAAAGCCGTAAAGAAACGTATAGATCCACATACACACAGAGCTAAAAATGCGTAAAATAACGTATAGATCAAATAAATGAAAACCCAGATAAAGAAAATGCCGAAATAACTGCGGATGCACATATAAGTACCGAAAAATCAACGGGCAACTGGGAAAAGAAGAGGGGAATACATACAGTGGGTCCATGAAGAGGGTCAGAAGCAATGAATTCGTCGACATCAGCTGGAGACCAAGAAGGAAGTGGCTTGTCGCGCTTGATGAAGGGCGAGTAGTTGTCCAAGAAGGAGAACCTCTCTCCCCAGAACTCCTTGTATCCTTCCCAGTGTCTCCTCACGAATGACGATTCTTCTTCAGCCATTGATTGTTTGTTCGAATTTGCCTAAATTGGGGAGTTTATAGTGATTGTTTGTGTTAGAGCCCGTTTGGCCTAGGCGATAAAAAAATATTTTTAACTGCTGAAATTAATTTTAAAAATAAGTTATTATGCGTTTAGATAAAAAGTGTTGAAACTAATTATAAATACCTTAATTATTTGGCAAAAAATACTGATAAATATGTTTTTTTGTTAAAATGACTTAAATGCTCTTAAAATTATTTTTATTAATAAAAACATGACTTATACGAGTTTTTTGGATACCAAATTGATTCAAGTACAAAATAATTTATTTATCTTTTTATTTAATACAAATTTGATTAGATAAGACTATTTTTTATAAATTTAGATTAGTTTATGATAAGCTATAATACACTCATAACTTATAAGCTATAATATAAAAACTAATAATTTGACTACTACATTATATATGGCACTTTGCTAAAAATGTATACATCAAGCACATAAGTTCTTTTCTAAAAACGTGTATATCCACCACGTTCGTCTTTCATAACACAGTGCACACAAATTTTATAAAGTAAAGAAGATGGACGAATTAAGAGTTTCTAGACAACAAAGTGATATTCTAATACAGGGATTAGAGAAATCCGAGGTTCGAATATAGTCTCTAGGAGCTGAAATAGAGACAGCTCGAAGGTCGACTCTGGTGAAGAAGAACAGAGAAAGAGAGAAGAGAGAAGAGAGGAAAAAGAAGATTGTTATTGAAAGAACTGTAATTGTTATTCATACAAAGAATGTGATACAATCCTTATATGTAATAGTTGAGCTGTAATGAGATTCTCTTAACTTCTCAACTAACTCAACTAACTTCTAACTAACTTTTGGCTTCTACTAACTAACTTCCGGAACTAACCCCTAACCACCCTAACTGTCACATTCTTTATTAAAATCAGTCCACTTATACTAATTGTATCACTAATTACAATTTGTATAATAGTACATCCCCCCAAAAGAGATCCTTGTCCTCAAGGATCAAAGTGAGGAAATCGAATTTTAAGCTCAGTGTAGTATTCCCCACGTAGCATCATCAGCTGGTATTCCTTGCCATTTAACAAGCACTTGAGCCACTGCCTTATTTCCCCTTTTCACCATTCTTCTTTGCAAGACCAACTCTGGTTCTGGGCATTGAGGGTCAGCAATGTCGACTACTGGTGGATAAGAAATATGATCAGGAATAACATGATATTTTTTCAACAAGGAGACATGGACTGTTGGATGAATTTTGACTGATGCTGGAAGCAAGAGTGTGTAGGCTACAGAACATATCCTCTTGGTCACTTGAAAAGGTCCATAGAACTTAGAAGCTAGCTTGTGATATGGCTGAGAAGATATGTTTGTCTGTTTATAAGGCTGCACTTTCAAATACACCCAATCTCCAACTTGGAAGGATCTGTCACTCCTGTGTTTGTCAGCCTGATTCTTCCTCCTTAGCTGGGCTCTAGACAAATGATGCTTGAGAAGTTGAAGTTTGAATTCTCTAGTAGTGAGAATGTTATCCACTTCACTTGTAGCGGATTCACCAGGAATGTATGGTAGGTAAATAAGAGGATGTCTGCCATATAAAGCTTCAAATGGAGTGGTATGGATGGCTGAATGATAATTGGTATTGTACCAATACTCAGCCATAGGAAGACAAGCTAACCAACCAGTAGGATCTTCTGCACAAAAGCATCTAAGATAAGTTTCAAGACATTTGTTCACCACTTCTGTTTGGCCATCAGATTGTGGGTGGTAAGCTGAGGATATATTGAGTTGCACTCCTTGTAGAGCAAAGATCTCATGCCAAAAATTGCTCAAGAATACAGTATCTCTGTCATTGGTTATAGCCTCAGGAAAATCATGTAACTTCACAATATTTTCTAAGAAAGCTTGTGCCATTGTTTGTGTAGTATAAGGGTGTTTAAGAGCAAGGAAGTGGGCATACTTGCTCAATCTATCTACCACCACCATGGTAACTTCATACCCTTTAACCTTTGGTAATCCATCAATAAAATCCATGATAATTTGAGACCGAACAGTGTAAGGTATAGGTAATAGTGATAATAGACCAGGAGAAGCTGCTAGATCAGCCTTGTTCTTCTGACACACATCACAGCCTAGTACATAAGCTTTGACATCATTTCTGAGGTCCTTCCAATAAAATAGTGTCTACAGTCTATTGAGAGTAGCTTCCACTCCTGAGTGACCTTCATGTAAGGTGTTGTGCCAGTAGGAAATGATGGTCTGTCTAATGGATCCTTTGCCTACCACAAGTTTACCTTTCCTTCTTAGCTGCATATGAGACCAAGTTTACTGAGGATGTTTGTTGGAGTCTGCCTGCAATTCCTCAATTAGCTTCTTCACCTCTGGATCATGATTCCAGCTATCAATAATGGACTCAACATTTCAGAAGTTTGAGGAAAGACTACCATGGCTAATAGTTCAACACCAGTGATTCTAGAAAGTGCATCAGCCACCTTGTTTTCATCTCCTTTCTTGTATTCTATGATGTAATCAAAAGGCATGAGTTTAGTTAGCCACCTCAATTGAGTATTAGTGTGAATTTTCTACTCCATCAGAAACTTCAAGGCTCTTTTATTAGTCCTAATAATGAATCTTTGGCCCAATAAGTATTGAGACTACTTCATTACTGCATGCCCAATGGCAAGGAGTTCTCTATCATAGACAGACATAAGACTTTTCTTGTGAGATAAAGCCTTGCTAATGAAAGCAAGGGGATGACCCTGCTGCATCAGTACTGCTCCAATGCCATACCCCTAGCATCAGTCTCAGCCACAAAAGTTTTAGTGAAGTCAGGTAGAGCTAAAATAGGAGCTTGAGTTAATGCTTTCTTAAGCTCATTAAAAGCTTCAGTAGCTTCTGGTGACCATTTGAAGCCTTCTTTCTTTAGGAGATCAGTCAGTGGTCGGCTGATGATGCCAAAACTCTTAATGAACCTTCTGTAATAGCCCGCTAATCCCAAAAACCCTCTCAACTGTTTAAGGGTAGTTGGAATGGGCCAATTCTGTATAGCTATGATCTTCTGAGGGTCTGTAGAGACACCCTCAGCAGTAATGAAATGCTCCAGGTATTCAATCCTTTGAACTCCAAAAGAACACTTGCTTCTCTTAGAAAATAACTGATGCCTCCTCATTTCTTCAAATACCAACTGTAAATGTTGTAGATGATCTTGTATGCATTTCCTGTATATCACGATATCATCAAAAAAAACCAGAACAAACTTCCTCAAGAACTGATGGAATACAGAGTTCATAAGACCTTGGAAGGTAGTTAGTGCATTAGACAAGCCAAAGGGCATAACAAGGTACTCATAATGCCCTGAATGAGTCCTAAAAGCTGTTTTAGAAATTTCATCAACAACCATTCTTAGCTGATGATAACCTGATCTGAGATCTATTTTAGAAAAAACCACTGAACCTCCCAATTCATCCAACAAATCTTCCACAATAGGAATTGAAAATTTGTTCTTGATAGTGTGCTTGTTGAGATCCCTGTAGTCTACACACAACCTCAAAGTACCATCCTTCTTGCCTACCAAAACTACAGGAGAAGCAAATGGACTGCTACTAGGCTGAATTATGCCTTGGTCCAACATTTGTTTCACCAGACCTTCAATAATATCCTTTTTTACTGCAGGATATCTGTAAGGGAACGATCTCTCAGATGTAAATCTCAGCCAACCGCTTCTGTTCCATTTTGAAGGATAATTTGGTGATCAAATATCCCTCTAGATGGTGGTAATGCAGTAGGTTCATCAAACAAATCCTTATACTTTTCTAACAATGCTGTCAGATTAGGAATACTACTACTATTTTCACTACTAGTCTCCAAAGAATACCACTGCATACTCCTATATTCTACATATAGAATAACCTAAATCATTGCAAGTTGAGGTTGATTACCTCACAACTTAGCTATCTTCCCAGCATTGGCTGATTTGATTTGATTTCCAGCACCTATGAGCACATGTTTTCTTCCCTTGTAGAAGAATTCCATAGTAATCTTCTTGAAATTTATCTCGATATCTCCAAGAGTAACTAGATATTCCACACCTAGTACCACATCATAGTTTGTTAGAGGTAATAACATAAAATTGGCTTCAAACTCAGCATCCTGCAATAGCCAAGACAATCTGCAAGCCTTATCCACCTTCATGCCAGTACCATTTGCAGCAGCCACTACCTGAGAGCAGGTAGTTGTCACAGGACACCTTAGCTGTTGCACCAATTCAGAATTGATGAAGTCATGCCGGTACCATGTTTTCTATGAGAATTTGCATAGGTTTCTTGGTATTATAGCCAGTAACCCTCAAGCATTTGAACCTCATAGACCCATTCAATGCATGAACTGAAATCTCCATATGTTCTGTTTGTTCAGCCAATTCCACTATCTGTTCTGAATCCTCATAACTCTCAGCGTCTTCAGAGTTTTTAGTACTTGGCAGTTTATCAACTTCTAATGCATAAACCTGCTTAAGATTCTTGCATTTGTGGCCGAGTACATATTTCTCATTGCAGAAATAACACAATCATTTGGCCCTTTTTTCATTGGACTCCTCAACACTTAGCCTTCTTCTGTTAAATCCCCCACTAGAGTTTGGGGGTGGATCCTTCTTGGGAGCAGGTAAGGCCAGTAATGGCTTTTTCTGGAATCTTTGATCCACATTCCTTTTAAAATTAGTAGTTTGAGCTGGAGGTAATGATATCCTTTGCACGATCTCCTTCGATTGAGCATCTATGTAGGCTTCTTGCATCCTAGCTGCCTTGAATGCTTGAGCAAGTCATCTGGGATTAGTCATTTTCACAGCTATGTTAAGCTGCTCCTTCAGCCCTCCTATGAAACAACTGATTGCATTTTCCTGTGACAAGTTCACCCTTGTAAGACACCTTTTAAAAGCTGTATGATAATCCCTCACATTACCAGACTGGACAATCTTTTTCAATTCCTCCATAGGATCATTATATTTCTCTCCAAACTTTTCAGTCAAAGCCATGGCATACTCACTCCACTTAGGTGGCTGA